GATCTGTTTTTAGTGCTATTTTTACTTAGATGCAATTACTTTTGGCAAATTATAAATCCATATAAATCCAATAATGGAAGCCTTGCACTATTTTGTTATGTGAGCCCCTTACTTGCAAGAACTGTCCCAAAATGCAACTCTTGATGTAATACTAAGCAGTGTGCTGGATCTTTTTCAGAATTTTATACCTGATTCATGAGTCTTTAACAGGCACCATAATGCACTTAAATTCACTGCTCTTATGGGAACAATAAAAGCTAAGAACTTCACTGCTTGACTTTAGAAAGAGCACCGTGTACAAATGAAGCTCATTAAAAGAAACTAAAGTGGGCTTCTTATAGGCTGATTGGAGATTACTGATGGAGAGGAATATTAATGCACATAGGCACATATAGTCATCTATCTTTTACCACTTAGGACTTATAGTAGGTGCAGATCTGGTGGTCTCATCTCAAAGAGGCTACAGTAGAGCTGGGAAAAAGATAGAAAAAAGGCAGCAGGGTGGTCATAGGGAAAAACTGGCTTCTGTGCAAGGAAAGTTTACATGGAATAGGATTCTTTTACCTCAAAAAACACAGCAAAAGGAGGGATACAGAAAGCTACGACATCTTGACCTGCAGGCAAGGGGTGGTAGGAACTGCTTATACCATCACTTCTTTTGGTACAAAAATCAAACCCCCAAAAGACAGTGGGAGACATGTTCATGTCCAAGAAAAGGAGGTGGTTCCCCATGCAGCAGGGAGTAAACTCGAAGTCCTTGCCAAAGGATGCTGTAGATGCATGGAGATTACATAGATTCTGGAGGAGATTAAGTAATTAATTCAAAGAGACACCTCATAAGGAATGCTAAATAGAGAAACCACATCAGGCTCATAAAATCTGTGCTGAAAATAGTTGGGAGTGTAGGGGAGTAATCAAGGGAAATATTACGCTTTACCAACAGCTGTGTTAAGATGCAGCCTTTTCTCTAAACTAGTCATCTAGATTTTCTCTACAGCAAGTAGGCATGTCAGAGGTGCAGAGTGAGCCTGGATGATTAACTCAGGATTGGTGCTGACCTTTTGTATAGCTAAAGCTAGGTCAGAAGAATACAACCTTGCATGGTCTGGCTAAAGTAATTTTAAATTATCCATCTGTACAGAAAAAGTAACTGCCAGGAGTCTCCTGACTGACTCTCAGGAATGCTTGACGTTTATTATCATAGAAATCTACCTGAAAAAAAAAAGGGCTTATGATTTTCAGTAAGAGCAAAATTTCTAAATTTAATGAAAAGATACTTTAATTCTTACAAGCAGGTAGTAGAGCACAGCACATGTGGCAGTGTAAGGGTCACACAGTTTGAGTGTGTAGAGCTGAGAATATCCAACTAATTATATTGCCATGTCACTAATATACTGAATTTGTGCAACTAACTTGACCAGGGAATAAATAAGGTTTTAAAATTCTCTTTTCTATTAAATGTCTACCTTTGTTCACTGCCATAAAAGGGAAATTTCTTTGTTAATTCAAACTTATCTTTGACTGATATAGGCCAGCTATTACTTGGGAAATGCATGATTTACTCAGATATGAAACACCTGAAGAACTTCGAAAATTTATTTTTCTACTTTAAAATTTAGAAATGCCTAGGGTCGTTTTTCCATTTTGGTATAAAGAACTAGCTTATTATCCGTAATTAGCATGAATATATTTCTGTTACCAAATAAACAAAATAAAGTTTTCAATCACACATATGTACATGCTTTTTCTTTAGCCTATCACTAGTTCCTTAATCAAATATACTATGAATATTTCATATGAAATTTTCAGAAGCTCGATCAACTGACCATCAATTGTTTTACCAAAAAAGTCTTAGCTGTGTTGCAAGTTTATACAGTTAAAAAGTAGTGTTATTTTACACCAGATATCTGCTCCTTTTTTTTTTTTTTTTTCTCCCCCCCCTTACCCCTCTGTTCTCTGGTTCAGGCCTCTGCCCTTGGGGCCGGGGGGGGGTTTTCTTTCTGCTACTTTTCTACCAGAAATGAGTAAGTATAATTTTTAAAACATGGACAAAAATTCTCAGCCCATAAAGCAAACTTGAATGGCTGAGAAAAAGGAGAAAAGAAAACACTTTTATAGCTTTCAGTAATATTCATGCTGCAATTATTAGGTAGTTTGTGTGGTTTCTTTTGTTCTGCTTCTTGTAAGTGAGGAGATTGTGGTTTCAGTTGAATGTCTTCATCAGAAACTACATCCATCTTGCTAATTATGCTCCGTCCAGATGCTGAATGTTTGCTTCTCACACATTAAACTGAAGGTATAACAAAATATAAAATTCATTAAGAACTTAAAAAATACAACAAATATTTATTCCTGAATGATGTTATTATGATATCTGTGCTATGCCCTGGATGTTACAACCTGATACAACCTTATAAAAACATAAGATATCCTGTCCAAGATCAAGAAGAATTGTGCTCTGTCTTTAAATGGGTCTCATTTATTATTGATTAGTAACACCAAAAAGCCACTACCTGCACTACAAAAGTGTGGATAATGAAGTGATAGCTAAAATAGTATTTGAAACTGCTAAACAAAGCAAACATCTAAGTGGAATTTTCAGGGCACTGCGCATGAGGTGCTGCCAAAATTCAGGCAGAATCCCTGGGAAACCTCTTCTGTCTTTGCTACTGTCCAGTTTTCTCATTTGGTTCTTGATATTTTTCTGGAACAACCACTATGTTGTCATCAGGACAGTGTTCAACCTGACTGCATTTTCTGATGAAAACACTCTGCAGAGTGGATAAATTCTTCCTATGCAATAAAGAAATCATGCCACACACAGCATGATCGTAGTGAAAGCAAAAGCCATCCCTTCAGTGATATTTCCTTCTTATTCTGTGTTTTTAATGGCTCATTAATTTTTGAAATTTTCCATGCTTGATCTCTCCCCAGAAATGATTTTTGTTTTTTATGCTTGACCAAATTTCCCTTGCATTCTCACTATGAAAAAATAGAGAGAGATGGAGAAAGAGGGAGAGAGAAGGAAAGAAAGAAGGAACAAGGGGAAAGCAAGAAAATAACAAAAAAGAGAGAATGAAGAAGGAAGGAAGGAAGAAGGATGGACAGAGGAAAGAATAAGTGCTGCAATTGTAATTTTTTTGCCAGTAAAATATTTTGCACTGGAAGGGTATTCAACTTCATTTACAGAGAAATACTTAATCCTTCAAAGGATAAGTAGATATGAATTCTTCCTATGTCAACTGCTGAGCCTGTGCATACATCCACTTCTTTAACAGAGGTCAAGATTCATGTTTAGACTGCCACTGCACTCTCTGGATAGTTTCTGGGCTTTCTTTTTCTGTCCTCCATAATAGATTTTTATGGTACATTCTCCTCTGTTTCCTTATACAACATTTCAAAAGAACCAAGGTGAGCTCAGGATTGAGGGTACATTAACAGTGCAAAATCCAGTCCTCCATCTGCCCTCTGAAACAGTTGCAAATATACAGGGCTCTGAGGCTACTTCTATGTTAGGGAATTAAATGGGCCCAGGCACTGAAATTCAGTCATGTATTCTCAATATTAAATTGAGAAAACAATCATGGTTTGGCCTTATTTTGACTTGGACCATCTAGTACTGACCCAGCAATTTTGGGCACAGTTCATCATTACCAGTTGGCAGTTTAAAGGGAGGAAGGCAACTATGAGACTTTACCAACATGGATATGGTCAAACTGTGCCAGCTGGCCTCAGAGCTTCTGAACAGGTATGCCTATAGATTTAGGTTGAATATGCCAACTATTTTAAATACTGAATTTGATTGATTTTGGAATTGGATTATACAATATGTGTCCTTTCCACAACAAAGAGCTGGATTCAACAGTGCAGAAAATCCCTTACAGACCTAAGTTCTTATTCTTCTGCAAGCCTTGCTAAAAAGAATAAACTCCCACAAGGCTTTTCACAAGTACAGATATCATCCTGTTCTCTGTAGGGAGTTAAAAGTACAGATGTCATCCTGCACTCTCTTGGGAGTTATATATGCATGGATTCAGTACCATCCCTTCCACTGGAGGGATATTAAGAGGCACTAGTGGGTATCATCAAAAATTACACAGGATTCATCATACTCTTCCTGTTTTTAACCATTTTCTTCTTTATTTTATTTTCCCTGCTTAAGCTTTCTCCTCTTTTTTCAACTTCTATTTTTTTCTCTATTCCTTTCTTCTTGCTTTAGTGGCAGATATCAGCCAACTGAGAGCACAAAGCAACATCCTTGAGCAGGTGAGTCATGGGTACCATCCAAGAGAATATATTCCCATTAAGGTTGTAACTGTTTCAGCTAGATGAACATTGCCTTACTCCCACACAAATACCTAATGGAAGAAAATTCCAAATGCTTCAGCACAACGGAAAATAATAATTAAAGACAAAACCAGAATACAGCTTGACTTTGTAATGAAAGAGGTATTTTTCATGGATTGAAAATCCTGTTATATTTTCAGCTTCTTGATCTCAAACAAAGATTTCTTCAGCCAAGGATGCTACTTCCCTGAACAAAATAAAGCAGCTCTCACTTCACTGGTGACTTTCCTTGCTCCCAGCTGCACAGATATTCTGGTTACAAAGAATGGAGTGTAGAACAAAGCTTTCATCCGAGGCTGTTGTAGTCCAGCCTCTCTCTATTTTAAAGAATGACAGAAGAGGAAGAAGGTAAAGAGAAATATCAGCAACATGTGAATTAGATTTGCCTCAACAACTAAGAATGGGATTTTACTCTCTTTTACATCTTTTGTGGCAATGACTGACAGACTGGTGGAGAAGACAATGTAAACATGCATACTTCTTTGTATCAATCCAATTTAACATAAAGCTCATTTTCCTGGTCTTCTTATTGATCAGGTAAATGGTCAAATTACATTACAGAGTAGAAATAGAAATAGTATTTTAACACAGAAACAGCAAAAGCACAAAAGCTTTCCAAGTAATGAAGGACTGCGTGGACACTTTAACCTTACCTCCCTAAGGGGATCATTGAGCTCATTGAGAATATTTTCTTCATCAAAAATCTTGCCTTGATAGCGGTGTTCATAGTAATCATGGATCTTCTGGCGCATTTCAGCAGGTAATTTGTGGAATGACATGTACTGTTCCACTTGTTTGTACTATTAGGAAAATAAAATAAAGAATTAGAAAACAGAAAAACAGTTCTTCTACAGGAATCTAGAAAATTCATCCAACTCATCCATCTAGAAAAAGTTCATCCATTCATCCATTTAAGAAATGCAAATTCCAAAACATTTCTAATATATCAAAAAATGAATATGCATCCACATTGATTTCTGAATTTTAGAAGCCAAACTCTCACACTTGTCGTATGTTCCCTAAATTTCCAGCTATATACAGCTCTAAAACTACACAAATGCCACTTTAATCTCATTCCATATCATGTACATCTACTGCTTTACTACTGCATTCATGGTTTAAGGCATGAAATTTCAAGAGAAGTATGTGCTTTACTGAGGTTGCTTGCAAGGTGGCTAAAGTACAACATTAAAATCTGCACTGTTAACAAGATAGAAAGAACACCCCTGGCAGAATGAGTAGGTAAGTGTTGAAGAAGAGAACTAGACATGGCACTAAGAAAAAGTGAGGTAAAACAGTACAAAAGAGATGACAGGACCCAGGGGACTAGGAGAGTCCCACTCTATTTGCCTCTAGACTTCTGTCCCATCTGCTGTTTTCTTTGCTCTCAAATCTGACTGCTTGGCTCAGAAGCCTTTTCAAAAAACATCATTTTCAGAGCAGATAGTCCCACGCTAACGCACATGGATTTTTACTGTTAAAAAAAAAAAAAAAAAAAAAAAAAAAAAAGATCTGAGATCGAGGTAATGGGGAAGCTGCCTTAACCACAAACTGACAAGTACCACCTGAGTGTGACTTTTGCCTCTCAGGCACCCATCTGTGACTCACTCGGAGGAGATTAAGGTGCTGAGACGTGGAAAGAGAAAATCCCCTCCAGGCTTACAGGTGAGCTAGAGCTTGGCAGAAACGTGTTTTCCTTATGTAAACACTCTTCATTTAATTTTTTCTTCTTTTTTTCATGCTTAATTAGGCAATTTTAACTGTTTTCAATAAAAAGCCAATGAAGCTTTAATTAGGATCAGTATCTCTGTAGAGCAATTAAATGAATTTATAATGTACATGCACTCGTTATGAATCACAGAATCACAGAACTGCTTATAGCCTTTCTTTCCAATTCTGCTCTTCAGATGCTTGATTAGCAGATGATAAAGTAACAGACACAGACTGGACTCTCATATGGGCCGATAGATTTATGGGCATCCAGTTTGCCTAAATAATCCCTAACCCTATCCTCCTTGACCAGTGGAAAGTCCTTCTGTCTCCTGGTTCTCTCTCTTGTCTCCGGGCTCTATAGTTCATGGGGACTATCCTTGGCAGTAAAGACAGAAGCAAAGAAGGCATTTAGTAACTCTGCCAAGGCACCCTCCCAATTCAGCAGGGGACTAACATTTTCCCTAGTCTTCCTCTTGCTGCTGATGTATTTACAGAAGCCCTTCCTTTTGTTCCTGGCATCTCTCACCAACTCTAATTCCAAATGGGCCTTGGCCTTCGTCATTGCATTCTCTGACAATGTTCCTATATTCTTTCCATGCGGCCTGGCCCTTCTTCCACACTATGTACATGCTCTTTTTCTCATTAAGTTTACCCAACAGCTCCTTGCCCATCCACACAGGTCTCCTGCCCCCCCTTCCTCGATTTCTTTTTTATAGGAATGAACCAATCCTGACCTTGGAGAAAGTGCTGTTCGAATATTAGTCAACTCTCCTAGACTCCCCCTCCCCCTTCCTGGATCCCTCCTTGCCCATGGCATTCCTCCAAGGAGCTTCCTGAAGAGGTCAAAGTTAGCTCTCTTGAAGTCCAGGGTTGCAATCCTTCTTGCCCAGCTTCCTCCTCACACGATCATGAATTTCAACATTTCGTGGTCACTGCAGCCAAGACGACCCCTGAACTTCACATTTCCCACTAGACCATCTCTGTTAGTATCAGGTCTAGCAGTGCTTCTCCCCTTGTGGGCTCATCAACCACTGCATCAAGAAGTTATCTGCAATGTTCTGTAGGAACCTCCTGGACTGTCTGCTCCTAGCTGTGTGATTACCCCAGCAGACATCAGAGTGGCTGAGGTCCCCCATAAGGACCAGGATCATGAGGCTTCTTGCAGCTGCCTGTAGAAGGCCTCATCCACTTCCTCTCCCTGTTCAGGAGACCTGTAGTAAACTCCGACGACAGTGTCGCCCCTGTTGGCCTGCCCTTCAATCCTCACCCACAGGCTCTCAACCCGCGCTTCATCCTCCCCTGTGCTGAGCTCCCTACATTCCAGTTTCTCTCTCATGTAAAGAGAAACTCCGCCACCTCGTTTTCCTGGCTTGTCCTTCCTAAAAAGCCTAAAGCCATCCATGGTCACGTTCCAGTCATGAGAGCTCTTCCACCATGTCTCAGTAATTGCATAAAGATCATGGCCCTGCAATCACACACGCATCTCCCATTTCCCTTGTTTGTTCCCCATGCTGCATGTGTTTACATAGAGGTATTTGAGTTGGGCACCCAATGTGCCTCTCTTTCTACTTGGAAACTTGACCATGTGGGCCTTCAGGAGTTCTCTTATTTTCCCATTTAGCCCCTTCAGGCTTAGGGCACCCTACACAGGCTATGGAGTGCCATGACAGGCCATTGCCTACCCCACAATCTGCTTCCCCAGTGATACCCTCCTACCCGCTTGAATCTGGTTTAAAGTCCTCTCGATGAGCCCTGCTAGTTTATGTCCCAGGGCTGTCTTCTCCCTTTTTAGAAAAATGGATCCCAGTTGAGAAAGATGGATCCCAAAGTCCCCTGAACTGTAGACATATCTTTAAACTTATATAGTTTAAGGCTATTCAATCCTCTAGAATTGAAATTAGTTTTTGATTTGCAAAGTGGCATAAGATTAGGTGGAATGATGTGTACAACATGCATTTCCTAAATGAGAAGAAAGTAATTTTGCACAAGACTATTTAACAAGTATTGAGTATACAGAAATAGGGATTAACCTCTCAGTAGCTATTTTGCATCTATGAAGCAAGGATTTTTCTCTTTCCTTTAAAAGCAGGATTTAAATTTGTGTGCTCATCATTGGTTTCTGTTATGATAACGAGATATTTAGCCATGTATTTGGGGTGTAAATGAGTTCTGGGACTCTAAAAGACAATTGTGTTGTAGCATAAACAGTGTATTGCTTCTAAAATTGTGCTGCTAATCAGCTGCAGCTAAGCTAAGCATGGATTTCCTTGGAGGGAAGGGATTTTAGATCTCTCAATATTCTGTATATCCTACTGAGGTGGTAGAAAAATCCAATGAACTGTGCAGTTCTCTGGCTTTTCAGGAACTTCTCCAAACATGGGGGCCAAAGAGCCCTCATGTAAGAAGGCAAGTAGGATTATCATGTGGGTAATGCACACAAGGGCACAACCAGATGAACAAGATGGTAAAGACTGGAATGAACTCCTTGACACACGAGCTCCATGCCTGTAGCCCAGTGTATTTGCATTCTGGTAAGATTGAGCAGTACTCACAAAGAACAATCCCTGCTAATCAAAACATACATTAACATGAGGTATACAGGACATAATGGAAGAGAGTGGTGAAGGACTTTCATACTGAAATAACCTTGAAAAACTGCTAAAGGCAGTTTGCTTTGCCAGCAATTTGCACTGCTCACTTTCATTAGTGTTGTTATTTGAATAGGTGCTTGCTCCCACACAACCCAGTTCTTTTCTCTACCAGGGATTGTGCTTGCCTAAGAGAATTTTAGGGAAAATAGAAATAATAAAATTAATGTGAAACCACTGCTACTGGGTCTCAAAAATGCTTCCAAATCAATGTGCACATGGCACAACAGAGACTTCTGTTTATTAGCAATATTTGGTTTTTCAGTTTTATTGAAAAAGCTTTTTCAATTTTATTTCTGTTTCCAGAAATATTTACCTATCTAAAATACTATCACAGTATTTGTCCATGTCCAAATTTGATCCTGTGAATGTCCAGGATATTATCACTATCATTCTGAAAAGAATCTTTGCCTAATCTTTTTCAGTATAATTCTGAATCATATTATGTATCATTCATTCAATTTCTCCCCATTTCTTTACATTCTACCATATTACTAATGTAAAGTATTTCCTCAAAAGCTTTAACTTGTTCTTTTTTCTTCAGCAACTGATAATCTGTCCCATGACTGACAATCCCAGTCATGGTTGCTTTTTAGTTCTAGAATATTAATCAAGTTTGTGGTTTTTACTTATTGTATGCCATTGACAATAATGAGGATTTGGCAGCTTGGTTGTCATTGTGATGTCTCACACACTAGTTACAAGGTATGTGCTAAAATCAAGATACAAGGATAGAGCAAAACTTACGTGGTCTTGTTCATTCTGTGTAATAAAATACCAATTTGTTTAAAGTTAATTTTGAAGAATTTTTTCTAGGTACCATAGACATTAAAAATGTTAGACTTGGAAACATTTTTATTTATTGGAGATATTTGAATATTATTGAGAAATTTTGAATATTTGAATATTTATTTTGCTCAATATCTATTGAATATTTATTTTGCTTTTTTCACACTCTTTTTCATTTCAGATTTAATGTCAAAAAAGGTTTAAAAATTCTCATGAGCCCTTTAGCACCATGGGCCCTTTAAATAAATATGAACATTTGGTAATTTCTCATGGATTGTATGTGAGAGATTTTACCACTAGTGTTAAGAACTCATCAGTGAAATTAAATTTAGTCAAAACTTTCATAGTTGAGTTGGATTTAAAAGAGCTGTGCCTGATTCCAAAGCATCCATCAGACCTGCCACTTGAACCTAGGTCTCCATATGTGAGTGGAATCATTTGCCAGTAATGATTGCACTCCACTGCAGTGCATCTCTTCTTCCTTCCTAGAGGAAAATTTTCTTTGCTTGTTTGATTTTATTTTTTATATATATATATATGTATGTATTTTTGTTTGGTTTAAGCAGAAAAGCAACATGTTCATTCCACATTTACATAATTCCCTCAGATTCTTTTTTTTAAAAAACCTATATGAAATAATTTCAATACCA